CTTTCGCTGGTAGGCACTGAGAGTAATGGTGGGCTTTTGAGGACTCAATACCTTTTCCATCTTCCGCTGTTGATAGTCCTTTTTCATAATAACCTTAAGTGTAAAACAGAACACAGACATTCTGGCTATGCTTTGCCACAAATTTTTAGACTACCTTAACTTGTGTTGTACATTTTATAAAATCCTTTTCTACAGAACGAGCTCATTTAAAAACCATCCAGTTTAGCCACTTTGTCAATTGGTTCCTACCTGTTTGATGGCATTGCCTAGATGTCTCAGTTGATCAGGTATCAACTGTAATTCTTTTTTCATGTCCCTTTCGCTATCAGAGAGAACTGGGAGTTGAGAGTGAAAACTGTGCAGCACTTTTTTCATCCTTTAGGGAAAAAAAGGTAAGCAAACCTCTTAGCATTTAACATGCCTACCAATTAGTACAAAGAGAATACAAGGCTCCTAATTCATGGTCTGGTGTCTGTAGAGAACCCCACACGATGGGCTTGTGGGAAACATCTATCTTCCCCACCAAGGAGAGCAGTAGGGTAAACAAATTCTACAGGTATCTGAACACCTGTTACAGGTTCATTTCCCTTAGTACCATAGCGTGTAGCAAAAGTAACACTGTTAGCAACAGAGTAGGAACCAAATGCTGTGTAACTCACCTATTCATGATGTCTTCCTGTTTCTCCTTAGCTTCTTCATACTTGTCAGCTAAGCGCTCAGCCGTTTCCCGTAGACTTTTACTAAACACAGACATTGTTAGTAACTTAAGGTGAGAGAACTCTAGTCTCACCTGTTTCCACAAGTTTTGGTACTCACCTTTCCTCTCGACAATAACTAAGATCTTCTAGTTGTTTATTTTTCTGGTCACACAGTAATTTGACCCTTTGAGAACAAAAAGAAATTATTTTCAATCAGAAACCAGGTTTAGGACCTTACAGTGTCAGCTACCAACCAGGATCCCAAGAAGGTAAGGACAGGCCATCTACCTGCGCTGGATCTCTTCCATTGCCAGGTCCTGTTTAAGGATGTACTGCTCTCGGAACACCTGTGTGGCTCTGCTAAGGAGCTGAAGACACTCCTCTGGAGGAGGGGCTGTGTCCTTTTCAGAAGACCTTTAAAAAAAAGGTTTCTTCTATGACTTTCCTTAGCACAATAAACAACTGAAAACAGACCCCCCCCCAAAAAAAATCATGGCTCCCCCCCTTTTATTTCCTTTTTAACATCTCCTGTTAATCACAGATGATCCCACTACACAAACACACTGATTTTAAAGTCACGAATGGGCAGATTCCAGGGCAGCTAACAATTCAAGTTCTCATGGTAAACAGCATATGAAATTAAAAAGCTGACAGCAGAAAGGATGAAATGGAATTATGGTAACAAAAAGAAACCATTCTTAAAACCTATATACTTAAGAATTCATACTTCAAAAATGCTGGGTTAGCAACACTCCGCTGTAAAATGCTTCTAATGTGCTTCTCAAATGAATCCGGGGTTTCAGCCAGAATGCGAAGGGGAGACCCTGCCACTTCAACATCTTCTCTGGTACAAAGGAGGGGAGGAGATGCTGGGTGGACCGTGCTTCTGCAAAATGTATAAAGAACAGACATAAAAACCAGATCTGTCTGGATCAATTATAGTAACTATTAGAGCAGTATAAGTCATACTACTTTAGCCAGAATTCTGTGGTTTTGGGAAATAAGGTTTTAACCTTTGTAGAAAAACAAGTGTGGTTTCTGCATTCAAGAGGTCACCTGCTAGAGCTCTCTCCCATTCTAACAATGCTAGCCTTTGGCAAGCATTTTGGACTTTACCGAAGTCTTTATGAAAAATCAAAGTAGCATAAAAATTAATCATGCACTTTTCCCATGAAGAGCCTGTTTCTAAGCCCAGAGCCCTAAGTAATCACTCACTTCTTAGATATAGTTTGGATCCGATCAAAGTCACTTACTTCTTAGATATAGTTTGGATCCGATCAAAGCGTATATAAAAAATACAGTAAGGCAAAAAAAAAGGGGGGGGGGGGCAATGTTTAAGTGTTATAAATGTTTTAGCTTTTTTAGTCTTGCCAAAACTTTTAGTCTTTCAGTATAAAACTTACAAAATTGTTGTTTCACACTCTAAATAGTATAATTTCTTAATCTTCAAAGAACATGGAAGGTCCTCAACAGTAAAGGAACACCTTTATTTGAACTTTTATGCTTTTTACATGCTTTGAAATGAAGAGATTGAGAGGTCTACTAGTCAACAGTCACTACCTGTTGTTTCTGGTACCTCCTACAACCTTCTCCCAAAAAATACCAATTATCACCTGTGTTCCTTAAAAGGAACAAGGAGTGAGTTTAGAGTTGCAATATACCACCTCTCTTCCAAAGATTTGATACATTCTATTAAATCCCAAAATCTATTCAATCTGAGGCAGGCAGAGATGGTGAGACTTAAGTATGGATGCAGGCAGAAAGGATCAAAGATTTTAATCGGAATCCAGCTTTACTATTTGTTACCTGTAACTTTACATTTTTACTTCACCCCTCTAGGTCTGAGGGGATGTTAGCCAAAAAAAAGTCCAAAATGGTTTAGTTCATAAGAAGAGCTTGAGAGCCATTAAATCTAATTCATATTAGTAATGCAATTTGGTCCTGACAGTATTCTTTTCCATACTTGGAAGAAAAGCTCTCAACTCTTAGGTAGTTGGAGATGCCAGAAATTTTGCCTAAAATAAAACCTAGAGATGACAGAAGTAACCAAAATAACCACTCTCTCAATTCAGAAGCTCACAAGCCAAAGATACACCATGTATATAGCTTCAAGTCAGTTACTGAGAACATTTCATTTCCCAGCATGGAATGAATTTCCTCTACAAGAAATCGAGAGCTATGTGGGAAATACAAAATGGACAGACATACAATAAAGGCCTTATGAGGCATTCATAGGTACTGGTGATGCAGATCATTGTGGGTCCCAGGATGTCAGGAACAATCCAGAATCCTCGAATCGGAGCCGGCTGCCTGGGAGAAAACAGCCATAGTTACGTGACAAAACAGCAAATGTAATGGGACAAAGAGCAAAGGTATAAATGAAGTTCATGGGCACTTCAGGCCAAGGCAGCTGGGTCACGATATCTATCTGCAGTAACTTCAAAAGGATAACTTGTAAAACAACTCTTCCAGTTCTAATTAGTCTGAAACAAGCCATCACTTGACAGTCTAGCCAGGGCCCAGAGCCTGGTGGTGTCCATGTATTCTGAGCACTTGTCTGTTACACGGAATTAACTCTTCATGTGTGTCTTCACTCATGGGTAAGATACTGCTATATTTGGAGATCTAGCACAGTGTCCAAGAGATTCAGGCTCAGAAACTGCTGACTATTCAGAACTTTAGAATCTAGATAACATAAAAATTCAGTGAAGCCCAACATCTAGGGCCTAGGGTTTAACCTACAGGCCACATCCCTCTTAGTCTTATTTCTTACTGCACTGAAGAATCTGAAAACTGAGGACCTCAGGTGGGGAGTCAGTCAACACATCACACGTGTCCATGCATCCTCCCCTCACCAGGCCCCACGGCACATTTCTGTCCCCTGTCTTTAGATGCCATCTCCCTCTCCCTATTTCTGAATGAATCCACAAGCTGCTGTGGGAGGAGGATGGGCAGTCTCCTCCTGTGCGATTTACTGCCTCTGACAACCCGCGGGAGGGTCAGCTATGGATTGGTTCCAACTTAACGGCACAAAACAACAATGGAAGAAGACGACTCTATGACTTGAAAATTCTTCCCTACTGTTTATTTCCCCTTAGCTTGTGTCCACCATCAAACACTCCCTACATTTGTTTCAGGCCACCCACATCCTGACCTTCATTCTTCGCTTCAGAACTTTCAAGCTAGGATCCTATGTCCCTACACTTCCTTTTTTTGAGGGAAAGAAACTGGGAGAAGTTACAAAAATTTTTTCAAGTGTGAAAGCTACATATAGAAAAGTATTTTTATACACTGGAACCACAATCCAGGTCAGGAAGAACACTCTGAGCAATCTAAAAGCTCCCACGTGACCATCCTCTGGTGCCAACTTCTCCCTGTTCTGACATCCCCCTCCTTTGCTTTACATAGTTTTCTAATCTAGGTATTCATTCTTAAGCAGTACTATGTCATTTTATCTGGTTTATGAAATTTACATAAATAGGATTTCCCCGAGATTAATCCATGTAATTTATTTTTTAAAATTAAATTTTAAATTAACAAATGCAAATTAGTTTTCTATTCAACAATTCATACGCATTAGATTTTGTGACACCGATTAGAATCCCCTCATTATAATATCAGTCTTAGTACGTCTGCCCTTTGCTTCCCATTTCATTCCTAGTTTCCCTTGTTCTGAACTTTAGTCCTGGGCAAGTACTTCCCTTTTGCTTCTGATTGGTCAGTCTATGAAGCACATTCCTCCCTGTGGTTATTGACCACTTTACAGGCCTGTCTGCTGTTCAGCTGAAAGCTGAGTCACAGGTGATCTCGGTCCCAGGCTTGAAGGGTGTCAAATGCTCACAGTCCTGGGATTCCACCAGCCTCTGATCAGACCAGTCAGCCTGGCCCTCTTGGTGATTTCTGAGTTTTGTTCCAGTTTCCTCCCACTCTATCAGGGACCTTCTACGGTGATCCCAGGCAACAGTGGGAGCATCCAGCGCTTCTGGTCTTGGGGGCAGAGAGACTGATGTTCATGTGGTCCAACAGTCTGTCTTCACTCTTCTTTAATCCAGATGAGGTGAGAACAAGGCTACACCTCGGATGGCCACGGAAAAGCTTTTAAGATCCCAGCGACTATTCACCGAAGCAGACTGTAGACCATTACTGTCTCTGTGGACTGTTTTCAACAATTGACCTTGATGTTTCCTGAAACTTCAGTCCTACATTCCCAAGTCCAGGGATTCATCTCCCCAAGGTGTTTGGTTACAGACAAAGTTTTCACAATTTTGATGATATATCCATTTGCCAAACCTATATTCACCTACATACCTGCTCATCTTGCCTGTAAGGTCAATTATCCACTTACAGATTTATGTCTGCCCTTACTGATAATGCCAGAGTGTGTATGTAACAGGATTTACCACTGCTGCCATTAACGCTTATGTACTGCCCCATTACGTTTCCACCTGCTAGTCTGCTATTGTTTTCTGCCTCTAATACTGTGTTTCCAGTGGTCCTTAATGAACTCTTTAGAATCTAAGATCTGCACTGCCCTTGGGTGGGCTGCTGCCATTTCTCTGACGCTGCTGCCCACTGCATTCTCCTGAAAACATTCTCCTCCTCAGCATTCCTGACATTGTTGCCCCTGAATTCTCCTCCAGTCTTTGTGACCACTGCTCTCCATTTCCTTGCTGACCTGGACTCCACTTCCCACATTCACTGCTCATTGCTAAGTGGCTTCTCGGACTCCTCTATACACTATACACTATACACTATATACTATATATACATCACTGGATAAACAGACCTACCAAGCCCCACCTGCATGTCCTATAAGAATTGTTCTAAAATTCCAGGTGGTCCCAGTTAACCACTCTCTTTCATCCAAAGTACACTTGATCCCAAACCCCATTTCTCTGAAGGGTTTACCCACCCAATTACTTAGGTGGAAACTTGGGAGTTATTCTAGATAATCTGCCTGCTTTAAGTCACCAAATATTTACTAAATATCTATTACAGACACTAACATATAGACATGAGGCAATCAGTATATAACTATAAAGCAAATTAGATATGATCTTTGTCCTTCTGAAACATGCATTCTGGCAGTGGTGGCAGACATTAAGCAAACAGACATAAATCATAATATGTACTACAGAGAAAATGAGAAGACCAGGAGAAACATAACTTAGTCTAGGGCACAAAGGGAGCCATCCTGAAATGACATTAAGATCAAAAAGAAGAAAAGGAGTTAGCCAGGTGAAGATAACCAGCCAGGGCGGGGACTGGGAAATACCTTCCAGAGGAAACAGTATGGAGAGATGTCTTGAAACATGAAAAATCTTTTGAGAGGGATATTTAATAAGCTGATAATCTCAGCAGCCAACTGACAGCATCATAATAAGATGGTGAAGAGACTGAGATTGTTAATAGCTTTAGTTTGCTTGGCTCCACAATCACACACTCTTGGTACCAGCAGCCAGGAAACCAAAAGACCAACTGGGAAAAAAGATCTGCTGGGAAAGTCTGCTGTCAGGGACCTTGCCAGAGGACTGTACAGCAACAATGTCAACCTGGAGACTAAGGTGTATGAAGACCAGGCCATAGTCTTCACAGTAACTTGCTATGAGTCAGAAAGCTGGACAATGACTGAAGATGACAGAAGAATTGATGCTTTTGAGCTGTGGTGCTGGAGAAGAGTATTGTATATACCACGGACTGCTAGGAGAACAAACAGGTTTGTCCTAGAGAGGGTGAAACCAGGCTGCTCCTTGGAGGCAAGGATTCTGAGGCTCCATTTGACATACTTTAGGCATGTTGCAAGGAGGGACCAGTACTTGGAGAAGGACATCATGCTTGTAAGGGTGGAGGGACAGCACAGGAGAGGAAGAGCCTTGATGAGAGGGATTGATTCAGTGACTGGGGTAATGGGGCTAGGTGTGTCAGAGACAATAAGACCTGGTACAGCAAGGTCCAGGGCTGTTGTACATAGGATTGCTTTGAGTCACAAGACTCGACAGCACGTACCAAAAGTAACAACAACATCTCAGCAGTGAAGTGTAATGTGAACAGTTTACTTTCAAATGACTTGGCAAAATCATTTATGAAGTGGTTATAATATACCTAAATTATCAAAATGAATAGCTGCTATCTGTCTGTATAAGGGAGAGAAGTTTTTACCTGCATGGCAGTGGCTTTGTACAAAGGATGTGTTCCACAAAGCACTTCTGATCTGTAGAAAGTTCCTGTAAGCTACCCTTATCTTCTTCATCTGCAAAGGAACATATTCTATAAATTATCTTTTCCCCAAGGTTTATTTAAACACCACTTTCCCCACGTCACCCCAACGCTGGCCCAGGAAGGAAGAAGCTGTGTGAACAAGTTTCTAAATGAAGAAATAGTTCACAGAGAACAATTATCAAAATCATTCCCTTCCTTTGCTGAGGCATCATCCATACACCCACCATTCAATTTTTCGTAAAGCATAGATTTTTAGTATATTAAAAGGACTGTCCAATCAACAACAAAAAAAAATTTTGAATATTTTCATTTCCCTAAGAAGAAACCTCATCCCTAGCATATCCCTCTGGTTCCCCCCAACTTCCTCAGGATTAAGACAACCACAGATCTCCCATCTCGGTGTCCTACTGTAGACATTTTGTAGAAAGAGAATTATATCTTATGAGGCGATATGACATTCAGCTTATTTTCAAGCTTCATTCAAGGAAGGTCTGTGCATGTTATCCACACTGACTTCCTTTTTATTGCTAACATCTCACTGCATGGCTGTACAGCATTTTGCTTATCCCTTCAATCAGTTGATGGAAAACTGTTTCCATGTTTGGGCCATTATGAAATATATTCATATTTGTGCAGATATTATTTTTTCTTGATAAAACTAAGAGGATGAATGCAGGATCAAATGGTAACTTTTGTTTAACGATTTGAGGAATTACTCATCTTTTCCTAAGAGGCTTCTCTATTCCCAGGAAGACTGTAGGAAGATTTCAATAGAACCTCCAAAGTGCATGGAACATTCTCTAGAATAGATCACATTCTAGGTCACAAGGCAAGCATCAGTAGATT